AACCAAGGCATGTGCCCTGACTGGGAATCAAACCAGAAACCCTTTGGTTCTCAGGCTGGCATTCAATCCACTGAGCCACAACAACCAGGGATCATTTTCTTAATAGTTATATTTTATTAATTATGCTATTATAGTTGTGCTTTTGTCCCCCTCCACCCAGCACCCCCCACCGCCTCAGGCAATCCCCTCACCATTGTTCACGTCCGTGGGTAAGGCATATACTTTTTCGGCTACTCCATTACCTATACTGTACTTAACATCCCTATAGCTCTCTGTAACTACCTATTTCTACTTCTTTATCCCCTCACCTCATCACCCATTCACCCATAAGACCCTTCCCATCTTGCAACCATCAAAACACTCTCTGTATCCATGATTCTGTCTGTTTTTATTTGCTTTGTTTTTTAGATTCAGTTGTTGATAGATTTATATTTTTTTGCCATTTTATTGTTCATAGTTTTGATCTTCTTTTTCTTAAATAAGTTTCTTTAACATTTCGTATAATAATGGTTCGGTGATAATGAACCCCTTTAGTTTTTTCTGGTCTGGAAAAGCTCTTTATCTGTGCTTAGATTCTAAATGATAGCTTTGCTGGATAGAGTAATCTTGGCTGTAGCTTCCTGTTTTTCAAGACTTTGAATACTTCTTGCCAATCCCTTCTAGCCTGCAAAGTTTCTTTTGAGAACTCAGCTGACAATCTTATGGGAACTCCCCTGTAGTTAATTGTTTTTCTCTTGCTTCTTTTAAGATTTTCTTTTATCTTTAACATTTGGCTTTTTAATTATGATTTGTCTTGGAGTGGGCCTCTTTACATTCATCTTATTTGGGACTCCCTGTGCTTCCTGGACTTACATGTCTATTTCCTTCACCAAATTAGGGAAGTTTTATTTCATTATTTTTTTCAAATAGATTTACAATTTCTGGTTCTTTCTCTTCACCTGCTGGTACCCCTATGATTCAAATGTTGTAATGCTTGAAGTTGTTCCAGAGGTTGCTTATACTATCTTCATTTCTTTGGACTTTTTTTTCTTGTTTTGATCAGTTGTTTTCTACTCCATTAGGTTTCAAGTCATTGATTTGATTCTTGTCTTCATCCACTCTACTGTTGTTTTCCTATAAGTTGTTCTTTATTTCAGTTAGTGTATCCTTTGTTTCTGACTGGATCTTTTTTATGCTGCCGAGGTCCTCACTAAGTTCCTTGAGCATCCTTATAAGCAATGTTTTGAACTCTGTGTCTGACAGATTGCTTATCTCCATTTAGTTTACGTCTTTTTGTGGGATTTTGATGTATTCTTTCATTTGGGCTATGTTCCTTTGTCCCCTTGTTTTGGCAGCCTCCCTGTGTTTGTTTCTGTGTATTAGGTAGAGCTGCTTTGACTCTGAGTCTTGGTACTGTGGCCTAATGTAGTAGGTGTTCTGTAGGGTCCAGTGGCACAGCCTCCCCTATCACCAAGCTGAGTACTTGAGGTGTGGCCAGCTGAGTACTTTGTGCTGAATACACCCTCCTCTTGTAGTTGAGCCTTGGTTGCTGTGGGCAGATAAATGTGAGGGATTTTCCCAGGCTAGTCAGCTGCAAGGATTGGCTGTGACCACATACTGCCAGCTTCTGCCATCCATGGAGGATCAGCTGTGCAGGGGCAGGGTGGTGGTGCTGTGAAGTAGTTTGTAGCTTTCCACTGGGTGTGTCCCTGGGGTTCCTGGGTGGTGCAGGCCCAGTTCAGCCCCCACCTGTGTTTTGCCCACAGTTTTACCTGAGAACCCTAAAGTAAAACTAATTGGAGTGTTTGCTATGAGAATAAATTCAATTAAAAATGGCAGGTTTTTTTTAAGTGGATAAATATTAGGAAATATGATGGTCTTTGATTTTCCCTGGTTACTGCAGAGTTATGCCCTTCTTCATTTTGTGACTGATAGAGCATTTTTACACAGCAACTATACTGGGGAAAAATGTATCTAGTTCAGAAAAGTTCTTGTACATGTTCTTTAAATAAGGATGTCTCTGTAGGTTCGGAAAGATGGTAAATCCCAATGAAGCGATCTGCCATATATATATTTATTTATATATAAAAATGCATTTGAGATCCTGAAGATTGTTTTCATTCCTAGAGACTTGGCAGTTGATCTCTATCAAGTAATCTGGACTCAGGATGGTTTTCTAAGGGGCTGTCTGGTTGAGAATGAATAAATAGGTTCTGAAGAGCTGCTGGAATGAGAATACCTGAGTAGCCTGATAATAAATGATTGAATATTGTAGAGCCATTAACATCCTAGGTCATAGAGAAGCCACGTGTATAGTCCCTTGTGACAGAATCAAGTCTCCTGGAGGAGAGTGAAGCTGGTTTTGACTGTCAAATGAAGGACCTGCAACCAGGGCCATCTCATTCATGAGTACTTATTCATAGCAAAAAAACATTTTAGAGATGATTGTATCATGGGAGAAACTCCCAAAAACTTGCTTATTCTCACCGATACAGTAAAGAATTACAGGCCAGTGAGCCTACTGGCATGCAAGCAAAGTTTATTAATACTAAGTTCTAATAGGAAAGCAATGCAGGGGTGGCAAAAGTAGGGTGGCCGGAGGCCAAAAGAGCCAAGAGAGAGTCCTTTGTTTTGAGGACTTACATAGTTGGCAGGGTGGCGAAGAAGTTACATTTTGATTAGCAGGTAAAGGTGGTGCCACCTTCCCGGGAGAGACATGACTACCTAAAGGTAGGTAAGGGTGAGGACCTGTGTTCCCAAATCCTTATCTTGCTCCAGACTCTATTTGTTTATTATGTATATGTGATGGGAGGCAGGCAGTTAACAAAAGTTGTCTTAGGAGTTTTTTTCTTCGGGCCCTGTAGTCGCCCACCCCTCTCCCTTCTAGGCCTGGGGGATAAATACACAGTCTCAATGTTTTCTTTTCCCAGTTAGTGGAGATGATACGCACAGATTTGCAAGGGCTGCCCCACTCCTACACTATCGCAGTTTCACTTGTTGGGAATGCCTGGCATCCTTAGCGGACCAGGCTCAGGATTAATGGGTCAGTGGGTGAGCTTTTGCTTTTAGCCTCCTGTATTAAGTTCTTTGTTAGATCGTAATGATAAGTGCCCTGCCTTTATTTCCCCTCTGGCCACTCATTCTACTGTAACTGTTATATCTGCAGTATTTAATTTTTATTTCAATAACTTATAATGAAGATTAAGCCCAAGCTCTTTTAAATGATTTTCTTTTAATTTATAAGGTTTTGGTCTTTCTGTGACCCAAAATATGTGCTATATTAAGATATTAGAGCAATATTTCTCTTCTGCCTACTTATATCTGTATGTTGTACAATTTTTAGATTATTGATGGAAAGTGGTCAATCTCTGTTTAATGTTCCTTCTGTAGTAAATGAGCCTCTTCATCACTTATACTACTACAACCTCGTTATTTGCTTAGTGATATCATACTGATAGGAAATTGGATGATTTAATGGAAGCCTATAGAATATATCATTAGAAAAGGAAATTCGATGAAAACAAATTACTTATAGATTGCCTCGATTTTTTTTTTTTTTCAGTCTAGTAAGAACTACAACTACTTTTGTTAGTGGAAAAATGGCACCAGAATGTTACTGATGATTGGACCTTGGTTCAGCAACTTTGATACTTGAGTTCTGGCCAGGAAAGAATTCAGATCTAAGACTTAAATATAAGCAGAAGTTTATTTAGAAAGTTAAAGGGGTAGGAGAAGTAAGCCATAGAAGAAATGAGCCAGCTGCATGGGCTCAGAAAACAAGCTACATTGACAAAAGGAGGGCCCTTGCAATGTAGGACAAAGAAAGCAAGGATACATGTACTTGGGGAAAGAGAAGGGGAAAGGTTCGGCTTACTTCAGCAAGAGTGCATGCTGGGAGAGAAGGAGATTGGAAAAGGCACAAGTATGCAGGGGAGTGGGGTGTGTGGATAGAGGCATGGTGTGTGTGGGGGGAGAGGACCTCTCCAAGTCATTTGTCTTGAGGGCGTTTATCTACTTTCTAAAGGTGGGGACCCTAAGGTTGGTTTCAGGGAAGATCTCAATAGAATATTCATTAGTTTTCTAGGTGTTTCCTTTCAGGGTCTGTTCTCTACTGACTGTTCTGTGCCAGGGCAGGGGGTCGATAGTTACTTCAGCTAGTCCTGAGGCCTAGATGTTATCTTATCTGTAGTTTGACTTAACCTCTGTCTCTGTGGTCAATAGACCTGAGGCTTTGTTTCAAAATACTAAAAGTATTTGATGAAAGTTAGGACCTCATGTCCTGAGGACTTAGTACTTAAGGGAGTAGTTGTGCAAACACTTGTATGGGAGTCCTGTAAAGCTATTTTCTGTTCTCTTCATTCCTCCTCTATGGGGTCTACCATATGACTAGGGACATGCCTAGAAGGAACAGTCAGGGGGTGGCTAGGTAAAGTCAGGGGAGAGTCCAAACGCCACGACTAGTGATATGAAAGGTCAGGAGGTCTAAACCTCATGAACAGCTATATGCTAGGGGAGAAAGGTTACTCTGGGCACAAATTCCTTGTTTTCCCAGTTTTGCTAGTAGGCACTCTTGTTAGGCACCTTGGGCTTTTCACCCTGGTGACCTTTCGTACCTGGCCTATAGTCCTTGCTCTGTTCACACCTGTCTAACTGCCTACTCTTCTCTGAGCTGCATCAGAAGCATCTGAACTACTTTTTTTTTCTTTTTAAGCATGCACTTATGCAGCTCTGTCTTGCAGCCTTTCAAGGCCAAGCAAGTTCACAAGGGATTCTGGCAGACAGAAGAAAATTCACGGAACCATAGGGATGTCTGACATGCCTTTATTCTGGGGTGGGGTGATCCACGTACACTGCAAGCCACATATTGCACCGTGGGAAGTCCCAACTTCCTAGTATATTAAATTCATACAAAGCTGGCAGGGTAGCAAGACAATACATAACAGTGTGATTCTGCACATGCTCAAGGTTATGTGAATACTGCTATCATAGTTGCCCAGACATCCAGGTGAGAAAGCCTGACTTCATTTTCCCTACAAGCTCCTAAACCAAAGACGTGAAATTCAAGGAAGGAAAGGGCTGTAAAGTTGTTTAGTTTATGCCTTTTTGATGCTACATTTACTAGTGTCCAAAAGTGAATGGTCAACACAAAGGCTGTGAACAACTTAAAAATAAAGATGTTTGGGTGCCAGCTCAGATCCACTGGTTTAGGATCTGTGGAGATGTAACCCGTACAACTGTATTTTGAAAAAGATCACAAATTGTGACAGGCAGTATAGGGTGAGAACTGCTGACATTTAGGAAACTTTAAAAGAAGCCTAGACTCTGGAGTTAGATCAGAGTCCAGATCTGCCAAGATCTAGGTGTATGAATCTGGACCTAGGCTTATGACTAAATTACTTAATCTCTCTGAACTTCAATTTTCTTGTTTATGAAGTAGGAATAGTAATACTTTATAAGGTATTTTAGGGGATCAAAGTGGGAAATAGAAAGAAAGTGCTCGATATCCACTTTGTTATCCTGCTGACGTGGAGTTCCTCAGTTTTCATCTTGAGTTATGAAGAGTGAGGTTTTTCTCACAGTAACTCTGTATGCATCCAAAAGGGTATTTATGCAGAATTTTCTCCAGCTATCTTTTAATTATGTTACTGGCAGTATTTAGCTAGAAAGGGGGGGTCAAGGGATCAAGACATGGAGTTTAGTAAACTGGGAATCATAATAAGCCTGCTTGCTAGCCAAGAAGCTACAGCTTCACACCTCAGAGGATTGCAGCATCATATTCCACCAAGGAGACTAACACCCCTCGTTTCCCAACTCCTGTACCCAATTACCAGGTGGGAGCAGGGGAAGGCAGGTACCTGCGTAAACAGAAGTCAAAATGGCATAGGGGGAGGTAAGTTGCTGGACCAGAGATACCTGTCAGTCTAGCCTAGGGAAAGAAGCAATTGGTTGGGAAGTAGACCCACCCAAGAGCATTCAGAAAGTTGGGGAAATTGATTGGTCATATTGAGAAAGCCCCACAGCCAAGCTAATATAATAATCCCAGAGGAACAAAGAATCGATCAATCTCTCTCTCTCTCTCTCTTTCTCTCCCCACCCCCGTGACCCACTCTCATCCCGTGCATTTGCATGTCCTTTTTCCATGGCTGTGTGGTCCTAACAGCCAAATGGCTCGTGGCCCTGCAACTCTACGTGGGCTCCAGGAGGGAGCTTTAAATGGAAACACACTAGGCTAGCTGGATGCTGGACTGAACTGGACTTTTGTATGGAGCAGAAACTCTGGGCAGTGGCATTTATCATGGCTCTACTGAAGATAAGTTTGGACTTTTTTTTTGGTCAGATGGAAGGAGATGGAACATTGGGAATTCAGGAGGGGAACCGTTTTAATTGTTCATCATCAGTAAACCATACCACAGAGCTACTTCTTCCTGTGTGGGTAAATTTGTTTATTAGAAACTGTTAAGAGCCCCTCTTATACCTATAACAGATGGTGTTTCACTGGTAACAATTAGACAGATTTACCTTGGGCTTTAAACTTTCTTCCAAGTTTGTATTTAGGCTACTTAGAAAATAATTGTAAAGAAAATAAGTAGCATCTTGATTTTCAATTTCCTCGCATCCTCTGGAGTCACCAGTTATTTCTGGTTCCAATGTTATCCATTGTCTTATTTTAAACAAAGGTATATTGGTATATTAAGAACTTGGGACATAAACTTGTTAGTTACAAAACCGCGGAACAATTTTTTTGTCAATGAATGGGGATGCCTAATTCTTTGTATTGGCAGCTCATCATATGCTTATATGGTTGATCTCTGTGAATTTGTAAATGATAATAATAAAGATTTCTTTTGAAACATCTCAGGTCAACTTAACTGACAATGTAGTGGTGAAAAACTAAAAGAGAGAGGCGAAGAGATACTGTTCTGTTCCTGGTCATTGAGATCTTTCTGTCTGCATAATATTACTGACACAATTAAAAGAAAGTATTGACTTCTCTTTTTTTCTTTGTTAAGGATTGATCAGATACTCAGAACGTAATGCTAAGCATGAATAGTTAATGTGCATGAACTTTGCCAAGCCTTCAACAAGGCTATGGCTGGCTGTTTTCTCTCATGAAACGTACAGTCACCACGCCTTCCCAGTGAAGGGCCTCTTCCTTTTTTGCTCGATTGTTTTCATCTATATAGAAAGCAGTAAATGTATTAAATGTTTCCAATTTAAACATTGCAAGAGCTGGAGATTATATAACATCATACTAGTTGTAGCCTTTCTACCGCTTTTGTTTCTAAGATTACTTTTTCTATTATATCTAGTTATTTGCTTTGGTGGGGTGGGGGAATGGTAAGCCTCTGCTGAGATTGTACCACTCCATATTTCTGGACCATATAGGAAAATGTAATACCACAACTGTTTTTAGACAAGGAAATTCAGAAATGACAGATGAGGATATAAGTAGACAAAAATCATTTTTACTACCTTATACTTCAGAGATCTTTGACTTTCAGAAGTTGGAATCTTGGCATTATAGTTTACCTGAACAACCATTCTAGTATAACACCAGTCAGTGAAACATGTTAAGTGTCTACTATGTATAGGCTAAGTGTGAACATACAAAGGAAGTAGACTGTTTCAAAGAATAATGTAGTTGGGGGAATATCCAGAGGACCTATACAAGCAATTACAAGGTAACATTCACATACCAAATTCTTAACAGAGGCAATGTAGTATAATGCTTGAGAGTAAAACTTCAGAACTGGGTTGCCTAGGTTGAAATCCTAACTCCTCTACTACTAACTGTATGACCCTGGGTAAGTTATCTCAAAGTGCTTCTCATATTTTCTCATTAATAAAGTAGAGACGATCATTGATTTTAAGTGTGAAGGGTTTTGAAACCCCAGCTAAGAAATTTGAGTTTGATATGCTGGGAAATAGGGAGTCACTATAAATTTTGAACAGGCAAGTTACATGATGAAATTAATTGAAGAACATTATTTTAGTGACTATATGAATAGGGTGGGTGGGTTTAGAGACAGACACCAGTTGCGAGGTTGGCAGACATCTAAATGTGAAAGGTACAAGTGTGGAAGTTGAAATAGATGGGCAAGACCAAAAATCATCACAGAGAAAAATATTACCCAGATTTCACAATAGAGTGAATGTGTGTTTCTGAACAGCCCTCTCCTGACAATTGGCATTAATTCAGCAGAATCTTAGAAAATGCTGGTATAGCAGCTCAGTAGAAATTTCTCGTGAGTGCTGTCAGAAGTTATAAGTCCTGGGAAGTCCAGCTGGTAATATGTGCATTCACTTACAGCTTCCTGTCCCCTTTATAAACTACTGGACTACAGGGAATATTGGATTATCCCTGTTGGAAGTATCTCTATAGGACATGCTTACTGAACTGAAAGCCTTTGTTTAGAACTAATTGGACCTTTCTAAAACAGCATTTTTTTAGAGCTTACTCAAATTAGGCAGACTAACCATCTGTAAATCAGACAAATCAGTTCTTTTTTTAAAGCAATTATGCTGAAGGAGAAAAGAAGCAAAAAAGGAAGACACCATCAGACAGAACACTGTATTAGTAAAAACTATACAATTAAGAAGAATTTATTGTAATTTGAATGTCGAATTGCATCACTATTACTTTCCTGCATTATAATATTAGCTAGGTGACACCAATTTCTTTCTATCCTTTCTGTTGTAGGATACAAAAATGTTTTTTGTATAGGATTTTAAAGTAGAAGAGTCTACAGTGAGAAACCAGACAGTGTCACAATATCTTGGATTGAATTTATTTTTTCTTTGGTTAGAAAGATTTTTGAAGGTAAAGTAGAAAAATGATGTACAACCTATTTTTTAAAGTGTTTTAAGTTAAGATTTTGACTCAGATACTTTATTATAACTGATACAGAATAACCCTGGAAAAATAAAAGAGGCACTCAAATTGGTTTGAGGAAATTCTCTTAAAATACATTTTTATAAAAATTTTATTTATTGATTAGAGAGAGAGAGAGAGACATCAATTTATTGTTCCACTTATTTATTTATTTACTGGTTGGTTTCCTATATGTGCCCTGAGTGGGGATTAAACCTGCAACCTTGGCCTGTTGGGACAACTCTCTAGCCAACCAAGCTGCCTAGCTAGAGCCAATAAATAAGTTTTTTTAAAAAATCTTTCAAATGAGGCTGTTTTCCCTTTAAAATTAACTCATTGTTATCTTTTCAGGTTCTTAGAGCAGATTGTTTTTAACTGTTTGTCAAAGGAGGGATTCCATCCATAATTTTATGTTTTAGTTTATGTAACAAGTCAGTGGTAGTAACTTTATTTTATCATCAATCAGTTACCTAATGGATTTAATTAAGTATTCCATCTATAATCAAATGTATTGCCACTCTTCCCACTACTTAGTGGTTTGGGTAGTGGGTAGCTCTGTAAGAAAAGTAGTATATTTTTACAAGGTCTTTTTTCTTGACATGAGTTTATACATACTTTAGCCATAGTATTAGAGACCACTACCGATACGGAAAATTGCATTTTGGGGGGTGGGTAATGTCCATATTGCCTGCTACTATATTAAATCATAGTGAAACCTTGAATTTGGGTGAAGACAGCTTTTGCTTATAAGCGTATTTAATCTCTACAGATTATATGTGGGCCCTTTGGCCTTGATCTGCCTAATGTAAAACTGATTAGGCTTGTGCTCTTGTTTTCTGTTTAGATATGAGTATTAGCTGAAAGGTGAGAGATGAAATTAAGTTATTGCCAGGTAGGATTGAAACAGTGGAATAATGACTTCACAATTGGCTGCAAAAGCACACTTAACTAGTGAAGCAAAAGCTACTATTCACAATTTTCAGAATTAATCAAATGGTGGACAGGATTAAAAATATCTTTTTTTCTAGAAGCATTATTCACTGTAGGCTAATTTCTAATTCTTTAGACCACTTTTGAGCATTATTTAGTCAGTATTTATTATAGTTATAGTTAAAGTCATTGTTTCCCAAGCTTTTATAAACATACTAATTGGTTTTTAACTTCTGTTATCATTTGTCTTATTAGAATCTGGATAAAATTAACTGTAGCAAGACAGTGCTCAATACTACTTAAGCCTCATATTAGATTCTTTAAACTACCTGTATAGTATTTATAAATATG